AAAGGCAGCGTTTATAAAGGGTCAAAAGAAACTAAAATAACTGAATCGGTCCAAAACCTACAGCGGACCCTTGATTGATTCCATCTCTTTACCAAACTTCACTTATTTTCCCATACTAAGAGCAAAGATCCCGGTGAGATTCCCGCCAGGGAGATGTGCAAACCCCGCCTCCACCATCAGCGCGCAATATTGTTAGGTTCTTAGCAGATTCTTTCCCATACTTCTCTACTGATGGTCAATTAGCTTAGCCACTCTAATTTTTGAGAGCCACAACTCACAACTATTCGATCGCAAAGTGTACCTCTGAACATGAACTGTCCTGCCATGATATCAGTAGAGCAAATTTCGCGCTTCGATCCACTTCGCGACCGAACAGTTGTTAGTTATGGCATTCAAAAGTTAATGTGTTGAGCTAGTTGATCCATCAATAGTGGAAATAGGGCCAAAAAATCTGCTAAGAACCTTCCAATATAGCGCGCTGATGGCGGGATTTGCGCTCAGAGCCACTGGTCGCACCCGCGCTAATTTCTGAAGCTCGTACTCAAATATCTTTGTTAACTTTCAGAGGGAACAACCAAAAGCTTTTCTTTTATATCTATTTTCAGCCTTACTTACGAAGACCCATCTCCCTTTTTTCTCCTTGATGCTACTATGGCTATTCCTGGCAAACATCGCCTTTAAAAGGCTATTAGGAATCGCTATGAAACGAGTTTTCTCCCTAATTAGCACGATTGTAGCGAGTTATGGGGCTTTTCATGCAGCAGTCAAGAGGAACTTGCCAAAAACCTCACATAAAAGGTGCTCTCGCATTAAGGGTGATCTTTAACTCGTCAGAACATTGACTGAGTGAGAGGTGCTTGAATTTCTATAAAGTCTATTTTAGGCATGGATTTAGCAATGATGTTCACGGCGTTTCAGGAGAAATGCTGAAACTTCTCGACGACAGGCTAGGTTTACTTCTTAGCCCAAAAATAACCCAGTGCTCCTTTCGTGGCTCGAAAGCGCGTCCTTATTGCAAAAAACATCTGCCAGGCTCGAAAGGTGAAGCGATCTTTATTAGAAATCGGCCCTCGGAGTGCGCCACGTACTCCAGCTTTATTAATAGTCGTGGTCTTTTTAGGTTTGTGTAGCTGCGGGACGAGCTATTGTACAAGTTGGTGTGTTTATTCACAGAAACGAAATTCGTACTGGTAAGCCGATCCCCATTTACGAAAGACCAATTGACCTAGGTAAACTATAGCCAGGATTTGATGGACGGGGCATGCACGTCGTAATGTCAAGACCACATTTTCTTACATTGGAAATGAAGGGTACCGGACAGACAAGAGGCCCGTCGCGCTGCAAGAATGCAGAGTCGCAGCGCGTACTGTGGTGATTCCGCGTCAAGGTAAATAGAATGCATCAGTGTACGTCCTACATCCAGAATGCACCAGTTGTACGTCCACATTGCACAGCACGCGCTGCGACTCGTCCGCTGACCCTGCGTTTTGCCGCGCGACGGGCCTCCTGTCGGGCACCGGAAATGAAGAAGGAGAGCTTGGGCGTTCAAACTGACTCTTCAAAATCTGACCATATCGATTTGAATGAAAGCAAAAGCGTTTCAATCAATTCAAAAAAGTCAAACGTTAATAAGCCTAATAAG